GCAACAGACACCAGCTGGATGTCCTCCAATTCAATTCCGTTCTGAAGCCATCTACCTAGACTGTCTCAGAAAGCACGGGTTGAGAGCTCAGTGCCATAAGACTGCTTGTCCTTCCTAACAGTTACAAGTCCAGGCTTCCAGAACTTTTCACCAACTGGCTTCAAGTTGGGGTTCCCACAACCCCTCTTTGGGTTGGATTAATTTGCTAGAGCAGCTCACAGAACTCAAGAACGCACTTACATTTCCCAGTTTATTACAATGGATACTTTAAAGGATACAAATAAAGAGCCAGATGAAGAGATAACACATGGTGAGGTCTAGAAGTATCCCAAGCACAGACACTTCTGTCCCCTTGGAGTTGGGGAGTGCCACTCTCCCGACACGCGGATGAGCTCTTCTTCACCTTCCTGTAAGCTTCCATGTCAGCTATGCTGAAGCTCCCTGAACCCTGTCCTCTTGGGCCTTTTAGGAAGACTACATTGGATAGGCATGACTGACCATCATATAGAAATGTGACTGGACAATTAAAAAAAAAAAAAGAAAAGAAACAAAATGTGATTGGACAAAAAGGTTATGGTTTAACACTAATACACCACATGGGGGAACCCAGCAAGGCCTATCTGTTTTGGATTTTTTCCAGAGTGACAAAAACAAATTTTGGTTCTATTGTCTTTGTAATTATACATATATTTATAAGACTGTGTGTCTTGCTTGACTTTTCTTTTTTCTTTTCTTTTCTTTTCTTTTGAAATGCTCTCTTACCTCTTAACTAATCTCCAGAAAGGCAGGGAAGATTAAAGTCCTGCCTTGAGCAGGTGAAAGGAGGGCAAAGAAGCTCTGAGAGAAAGATTCTGCTTTCTGAGGCCTGCTTCTAAGGCCTAAAGCACCTCAATATTATAACAAGATCTGTGGAAGTTGGGAGACAGGAATAGTGGATGAAAACCTATGTGTGTGTACATATGTGTACATGTGTCTACGTGTGTATATATATATATGGATATGTATATACTATTTTTCTGAGCTAATTTCATTTGAGAGGACAATAAAGATAATGAAGTTTATAGTATATTTCATTTGCTACATTTTCTATGCTAGTCAAAGTGCTGACCCCTAATTAAAAGGACTCCTTTTGTTATCAACAATAAGAGACATCATATTCCACTTTTTTTTTTTTTTCCGAGACGGAGTTTTGCTCTTGTCCCCCAGGCTGGAGTGCAATGGCGTGATCTTGGCTCACCACAACCTCTGCCTCCTGGGTTCAAGCAATTCTCCTGCCTCAGCCTCCGAAGTAGCTGGGACTACAGGCATGCACCACCACACCAGGCTAATTTTGTATTTTTAGTGGAGATGGGGTTTCTCCATGTTGGTCAGGCTGGTCTCGAACTCCTGATCTCAGGTGATCCACCTGCCTCGGCCTCCCAAAGTGGTGGGATTACAGGCATGAGCCACTGCGTATGGCCATATTCTACATATTTAATCACATTTTTAAAAGTCCTTGGTACAGTTCTCAACCCTGATTTTGAGAAGTCATCCTAGGAGAGACCATCCATGTCATGGTCATATTTGTTGGTCCATAGGAATCAGATGGACTCCAGGTAGAATGAATGCTAACAAATGCTGGGTTCCTGCAGGGTGACCTCCTCAGCAAATAACCACCCTCCTGGCAGCAGTTATTCACCTGAGTACTGAATGAAAATCTCTGACTCAAAATGCTGTACAAGAGCATTCTGGGACACATCCCATGTAAACTGTGACTGACTCCAGTATACTTTCTAGTTGCGTGATCTGCTATTTCTCTTTGTTACATTTTATGTATTCTCAGACTATTCTTTCTAGAATTTCAGAAATTTTACCGGATCCTATTTCTACACCTTCTTGGAACCCAAACTAAGAAAATAAATCCTATCTACTTTTATATTCCTTCAGGCCATAATGTTAAGAAGCAATTAAATTATTCTTTATTTAGACATGGGTGCTAATTGCTTAGTCCAATGTGATACAAAACCAAACAACTAGTCATTAGGAAGAGTTATTTTCTGTTTAAGAGGTCTATTTGTTTTTGAATCATGGGAGCTTAAGAAAAAAAAGGGAGGGGTCTTTTTTTTAATCTTAGTTATCATAAATTCCTGCTTTTCAAAATATATTTTTTAAAGTAGATTTTCCCAAAAGTTATGCACCTTTTATGTTTAGCTTGATTAATCCATTTTCCTGTCATTATGATATGTCGATCTAGACTACAGATATTGTACATAAGTCTTAGGTATTGATTTGCACAGTTAGCTTTTCTCTTTAAAACAACAGACTAATTTGTCATTTTTCTCCTTAATATTTTTCTTTCTACTATAATAATTTTAACCACACAGAAAAGCTGAGAGAGATAATGGACATCTATATGCTCATTGCCTATAAATTAACAATTGCCTTTATTTTGCCCTATTTGCTTCATTTGATTATTTTGGCTGAAGTATTTTAAAGTAATTCAAGGCCAAGCAAGGTGGCTCACGCCTGTAATCCCAGCACTTTGGGAGGCCGAGGTGGGCGGATCACGTGAGGTTGGGAGTTCAAGACCAGCCTGGCCAACATGGAGAAACCCCATCTCTACTAAAAATACAAAAATTAGCTCGGCATGGTGGCGCATGCCAGTAATACCAGCTACTTCGGAGGCTGAGGCAGGAGAATCACTTGAACCTGGGAGGCAGAGGTTGTGGTGAGCCGAGATGGTGCCATTGTACTCGATCCTGGGCAACAAGAACGAAACTCCCTCTCAAAAAAAGAAAAAAAACAAAGGTCATATGAGTGGAGAATAATCCAGTATCACTGATGTCCTTATAAGAAAAGGAGATTATAAGGGCCGGGCATGGTGGCTCATGCCTGTAATCTCAGCACTTTGGGAGGCCGAGGCGGGTGGCTCACTTCAGAAGTTTCAGACCAGCCTGGCCAACGTGGTGAAACAGTTTCTACTAAAAATACAAAAATTAGCCAGGTGTGGTGGCGCATGTAGGCCTGTAGTCTCAGCTACTTGGGAGGCTGAGGCAGGAGAATCACGCGACAGACCAAGACTCTGTCTCAAAAAAGAAAAAAAAAGATTAGGGCACAGACACACGCAGAGGAAAGACAGCATCCATCTGTCAGCCAAGGAGGGAGGGAAGAGGCATACCTTAGAAGAAATCAACCCTGTGAAGATCTTTATCTTGGGCTTCTAGCCACCAGAATTAAGACAAAATGAATTTACTGTTTAAGCTATCCTGTCTGTAGTTTGTAGTTATAGCAGCCCTAGCAATACACTGTGTGATCTCTAATAAATTAAAGTTTTCTAAAGCTCAGTTTCTTCACCTATAAAATGGAGATAATAACATATGCCCCATGAGGTGGTTGTGAGAATTAAATGATGCAAGTAAAGCTCACAGCACAGTAAGAACTAAATAAATTCTCGCTATTTTATCCTTATGAAGATTAAATGAGGTTATGCATGTAAAGCATTTAGCTCAGCCTCTAGTACACAAGAAAGCTCTACTAAGGATTACCTATTTTTTTTAGAGATGGGCTTTCACCATGTTAGCCAGGCTGGTCTCAAACTCCTGACCTCAAGTGATCCACCCACCTTGGCCTCCCAAACTGCTGGGATTACAGGCATGAGCCACTGCACCCAGCCTTAAGTATTACCTATTCTTCACAAATTTTCATTTCATAAAGCTTTACATTATATTTTTCCTATCTCCAAAGTACTGCCTTTTAGACCTCGTCTAATTTATTTGTGCCATAATTAAGTCAGATGTAACAGGCTTTGTACCACTGAAATAGGTTAAGCAATCCTATCCAACAAACATTTATGGAGCACCTACATTTTGTTAGCTTTATTTCCAACTACTTGGTATGCTTTGGTGTTATTGTAAAGGCTACCTTATCCAAAAATTTCCTTTATAGTTGTTTGAAGCTCTTTTATAAATATGCAATTTATTTTCATATACTATTTTCTATCAGTCTTGCTAGGCTTTGTATTAAGGTAAAAATTTTATCCTGTAGTTTCTTCTGGCTTTTAAAATATTAATAATCAACTTACATACAAATAATGAGATTTGGGGGTTTTTTCTTAATAAATTTTACATCTTTTTTTTTTGAGACGGAGTTTCGCTCTTGTTACCCAGGCTGGAGTGCAATGGCGCGATCTCGGCTCACCGCAACCTCCACCTCCTGGGTTCAGGCAATTCTCCTGCCTCAGCCTCCTGAGTAGCTGGGACTACAGGCATACGCCACCATGCCCAGCTAGTTTTTGTAGTTTTAGTAGAGACGGGGTTTCATCTTGCTGACTAGGATGGTCTCGATTTCTTGACCTCGTGATCCACCCGCCTCGGCCTCCCAAAGTGTTGGGATTACAGGCGTAAGCCACCGCGCCCGGCCCCAACTTTACATCTTTTGATTAACAAAAATTAAAGTTTATCTTTTTTTCCTCTTTTTTTTTTTTGAGACGCAGTCTCGCTCTGTCGCTCAGGCTGGAGTTTAGTAGTGCGATGTCAGCCCACTGCAACCTCCGCCTCCCGAGTTCAAGCGACTCTCCTGCCTCAGCCTCCTGAGTAGCTGGGACTACAGTACAGGCCCGCGCCACCACGCCCGGCTAATTTTTAAATTTTTTTATAGAGACGGAGTTTTGCTATTTTGCTCTGGTTGGTCTATAACAGGGACTATTTTATCCTAACAATGTGTTTCTAAACGATATTGGTGCCAAAATCAGGATTACCCGATGATATAGTTAACACAAGCTTATCGAACCAGAGGGTCTGGAGTGGGGAATCTGCCTAAGTTTACAGTCCCCATACTCGGTGATTCTCATGCAGCCAAATATTTGGGCGCCCCTGACCTAGCGTCACCAAGAACCAGAAGACCAGTAGCAATTTCGCGGACTTCCTGGCCCCGGGTTCCCTCTGTTCCATGCAGTTTCATGGAACTTTTCTACATTCCACTCCCCGCCCCCGCATTCCGCCCGGCGTTGATACGCTACGAACCTCTCGCTTTACCGCTGCCACTCGGTTTTTCTTCAAAAGAGGGCGGGGGAGAGTAGTCTGAATTGGGTTATGAGGCCCCCGTTCAGGGTACCTCACCTCAGCCATTGAACTCGCTTCGCTGGCCGTGAGTCTGTTCCAAGCTCCGGCAAAGGAGGCATCCGCCGGGTCCCACCCCGAAAGGCGGGGTCCGCGGCATCTCCTGCCCATTCTGACCCTCGCGCGGAGACCCGTTCTCTGGGAACTCACCTCCCCGAAGCTCAGGGAGAGCCCTGTTAGGGCCGCATTTGGCCCTAGTCTCAGACCTTCCCAAGGGACATAGAAATTGAGTGACAGGACGCACTCAGCTCGTGGCCCCACTGATGAGCTTCCCTCCGCCCTATGAGGAAAAGTAGTCCCACAGACAACTTATAAGACTCCCATACCCTAAGACATTTCACGATTATGGTGACTTCCCAGAAGACACAGCGACATGCAAATATTGCAGGTCGTGTTTCGCCTGTCCCTCACAGTCGTCTTCCTGCCAGGGCGCACGCGCGCTGGGTTTCCCGCCAACTGACGCTGGGCTCGCGATTCCTTGGAGCGGGTTGATGACGTCAGCGTTTGAATTCCATGGCTGCGCGACGGCGACGGAGCACCGGCGGCAGCAGGGCGAGAGGTTTGGAGCATATTAACGCCGAGAGGAATGCGGGGTGGGGAGTCAGAAAAGGAACAATGCCACCTACGGTGACACCCTTTCCCTTACAGCTCCCCATAACGTGTCTACCAAACCAGTTTGGGTGCTAAATTTTTGTTTTCGTACCTTTGGGGATTACATAATTGTGCATAAAGCTTTGCGGACCTGGAACAACTAATAGTGCCAGTAGTGTTGTTAATACCTAATGTCATCCAATTTACAAAAAGTAATTGCAGGGTACACCATGATTTTATACTCCACAAGAAAGGATAAGCACTGAAAATGGTGTACTATGATTCGCTACTTCTGTCGTCCATTGTAAGATGCATCCCAGTTCGAGAGAGTAAAATGCAAGTCTTAGACCTATTGAGATAGAGTATTATGTGTATAATGTTCTTAAATGCATAGGTTCACCCTATAAATTAGGTACTATTGTACTTCTCTAGAAATAGAATATTGTTGTACAGTATTCTAATATTGAAGCAAGTGAAGTAGGAAGAGATCAAATACTTGAAGCAGCAGAGCTAGGCTCTAAGTTAGGCACAAACCCTTGAGCACTTTACTAACCTTTATCCCATACCGCCCCATGTATGAGGTGGATATTTGGGGGACACTGGGACACAAGTAAACAAAACAGATAGGCAGGCCTCAGTCTATGAACTTACAAGACTCCTGGGGCTCCCTTTTATTTTGTTTTATTTCATTTGGCTAAAATAGCAATTTAGGAAGAATTCCACAGTCTGTTATACAAGAGTAGTGTTTCGACAGTTATTGCCTCTTTGTAAACTTAGAAAATTATCTTAAACCGGCAGGGTGTGGTGGTGCACGTCTGTAATCCCAGCACTTTGGGAGAACGAGGCAGGCAGATCACTTGAAGTCATGAGTTTGAGACCAGCCTGGCCAACATGGTGAAGCCCTGTCTCTACTAAAAATACAAAAATTAGCTGGGCATGGTGGTGCACACCTGTAATCCCAGCTACACGGGAGGCTGAGGCACAAGAATCACTTGAACCCAGGAGGCGGAGGTTGCAGTGAGCCGAAATCGCAGCACTGCACTCCAGCCTGGGTGACAGAGTGAGATTCTGCCTAAAAAAAAGAAAAAGAAAAGAAAATTATCCTAAACCATTTCTTTAAAATATTTTTTTCAGTCTCTTAAATCTACACATATTCAGGTGTACTCGTTCTTCTTTGCCCATTTCCAAATTCTGTAGCATTAAATGGAAACAAAAGAGTTAATGATGGCAATACAGCTCCAGAAGACTCTTCCCCTGCCAAGAAGACTCACAGATGCCAGAGACAGGGGTTGAAACAGATGCCTGTGGCTGGAGGAAAAGCTAACAAGGACAGGACAGAAGACAAGCAAGATGGTAGGCCAGGGAGGTCATGGTCAGCAAGAGGGTCTCTGATAGGGGTGGATGAGGGGATGATATCTTGTTATGTCAGCTCTTATTTCTTCCTTCTTTCCGGATATAATTAATTTATCTAGCCTTTGGGCATACCACAAAACTAATCTACTGCCTTGAATCTTCGTTTTCATGTATTTGAGGTGGATTGAGGCCTAAGGAAAGACCAGGATTGCGTGGGAGGGCAAAGTTAATCCTGACAAGTTTCTGTTTAGCCACAGCAGCTGTTTTTGCTTCCCATAAAGTAGTACCTCTATGTTTTTCCTCAGAATCTGTGAAGGCCTTGCTGTTAAAGGGCAAAGCTCCTGTGGACCCAGAATGTACAGCCAAAGTGGGTAAGGTAAGAGAATCTGGAACCAATCTTCAGGCCATGGGTGTCTCAGAGAGCATCCTTTGTTACAAGGACTCGTCTGGGATACTGTTAGTATTCATTTTAGGAATCCTCTCTAAAATATGATGAGTGATTAGTTTTCTCCAATGGCAAGGGATAGGAGTGGTAGGACTTGGGGTTAATAATCAGGGTGTTTTTTAACATGGTGTGTTAGACCATTCTTGCATTGCTATAAAGAAATACCTGAGACTGGGTATTTTATAAGAAAACAGATTTAATGGCTAATGGTTCTGGAGGCTGTATAGGAAGCACAAGGGTATCTGCTCCTCAGGAGGCCTTACGAAGCTTTTACTCATGGCAGAAGGTGAAGCAGGAATAGGCACTTCACATGGCGAAAGCAGGGGAGAGGGAGAGAGAGAAGGTGACAGAGACAGAGAGAGAGAGAGTGGAGGAGGTGTCACATGCTTTTAAACTATCAGATCTTGGGTGAACTCACTCATTATCAAGAGGACAGCAGTGAGAGAGTGGTGCTAAACCATTCAGAGAAATCCACTTCCATGATCCAATCACTTCCCACCAGGCTCCACCTCCAATACTGAGGATTACAAGTCATCATGAGATTTGGAAGGAGACAAATACACAAATTATATCACATGCTTACCTTTTGTGGTTGCCATCAGCCTTCTATACCTCATTCTCTTTTTCAACCAGAAAATGTCATTGTTAAGGGAAAACTGTTTTCTTGTTCTAATGAGAAACTGTACCCAATGGCATGAGTTACTGATGAATGGGGAAAGAATCTGAAATACAGAAAGGCTACCTCTACAGTAAGTTTTCTTTTTTTTTTTGAGACAGAATCTTACTATGTTGTCCAGACTGGAGTGCAGTGGCTCAATTTCGGCTCAGTGCAACCTCCGCCTCCTGGGTTCAAGTGATTCTCCTGCCTCAGCCTCCCAAGTAGCTGTGACTACAGGCGCGTGCCACCATGCCCAGCTAATTTTTTATTTTTAGTAGAGATGGGGTTTCACCATGTTGGCCAGGCTGGTCTCAAATTCCTGATCTCAGTTGATCCACCTGCCTTGGCCTCCCAAAGTGCTGTGATTACAGGGGTAAGCCACTGCACCCAGCCAAGTTTTCTTTAACTCAGAATTTTTTTTTTTTTTTTGAGATGGAGTCTCAACCACGCTAGAGTACAGTGGTGTGATCTCAGCTTACTGCAACCTCCACTTCCTGGGTTCAAGTGATTCTCCTGCCTCAGCCTCCTGAGTAGCTGGGATAACAGGCACCCACATGCCCGGCCTGCTAATTTTTATATTTTTAGTAGAAACGGGTTTCACTGTGTTGGCCAAGCTGGTCACAAAGTGATCCAGCCACCTCAGCTCCCAAAATGCTGGGATTACAGGCATGAGCCACCATGCCCAGCCTAACTCAGTTAGATTCTTTTGTATAGTTTAAAAAAAAAAGGTAGCATGTTTTTGTTATGGTAAGGTTATACCCAGGTTATGGGTAGAACATAGGTTTGCAATTCTTTCCCTGGGAGATGGATGTTAATGTTGCTGTAGAATGACAACTTGAGCCGTAAGAAAATTTAGAGCCTCATTTAGGATCTCAGGGCTGAAACTAATGTTGATTTTTTTTTTCTTTCTCTCTTTCTAGGCTCATGTGTATTGTGAAGGAAATGATGTCTATGATGTCATGCTAAATCAGGTAAGAGGCAGAAGAGGCGGAACCGTTGGATTTATGAGACCTTCTTCTTGATAATTATTGATGATAGCATCCCAGCGTTCAGATCTTTAAAGTCCTTTGTTTTCTCATTTTTATTTATTTATTTTCTTTTTGAGATGGAGTCCCACTCCATCTCCCAGGCTGGAGTGCAGTGGCATAATCTTGGCTCACTGCAACCTCTGCCTCCCAGGTTCAAGCAATTCTCCTACCTCAGCCTCCTGAGTAGCTGGGATTACAGACGTACCCCACCATGCCTGGCTAAGTTTTTGTATTTTTAGTAGACACAGGGTCTTGCCATCTTGGCCAGGCTGGTCTCGAATTCATGACCTCAAATGATCTACCTGCCTCAGCCTCCCAAATTGCTGGGATTACAGGCGTGAGCCACCGGGCCTTGCCTAAAGTCTGTATTAATATTAGCCACTAGTGGTTAAATACCCGGGTACTCAGCCCTGGCACACTCTTGCCTGATGGCAAAGTCCTCTGTGAGATTTTTTTTTTTTTGCAGATTTTGTATCATTTATTGAAACTGTTAACTCTGCTCATATTCTTTTGTACTTTTTTTTAAAGAGGCAGGATCTTGTTCTATTACCCAGGCTGGAGTGCAGCTGGTGCAGTCAGCCCACTGCAACCTTGGGCTTCTGGGCTCCAGCAGTCTTCCCACCTCAACCTCCCGAGTAGCTAGGACTGTAGGTGCATGCCACCAAGCCTGACTAATTTTTAAATTTTTTGATTTTTTGTGGAGATGGGAATCTCACGATATTGGATAGGCGGTCTTGAATATTTGGCCTCAAATGATCCTTCTGCCTTGGACTTGTAAGGCATTGGGATTACAGGGATGAGCCTCTGGGTCAAAGCTGTTTTGCACATTTTCTAACAGGTTGTTGGTCATTTTCTTACTGGTTTCAAGGAACTTTATATAATACGGAGAATAACCTTTTGTCTGTAATGTAAATTGCTTATATATTTTCCAGATTTGTCATTTACCTTTTGATTTTCCTTATGGTACACTTTTTGCCAAGGCCCCTTTTTGTTCTAACATCTAATGACCTTTTTTTTTTCACCAGGGGACTAAGGTCATACAGTGGCTTTAAAATGTGACCAAGTAGGACAGGAGATAGAGGTAGGAAGGGGCAGCATGCTTAACAAAGAAGAATGCCTCCATATCCAGGGCTTGGCCATATAATACCAGTTGCTGTGCCTTATCATGGACTTCTCTCTCTCTTCACTCTGAGAGATTTACTTACAAATACCTCTTTTTAGAGAACTGGCCATATTCTCAGTCAGGTTAGTTATAGGATAGATGTGGCCATGGTTTTGTGTATCCCTTGTCTTCTCCCAGTATTGCCCTGCTCTCAGCTCATTGTCTAATTTCTGTAGCTGACAAATAAAGTTGTGAGTAGAACTGTCAAAAAATAAGTCATGTAACAATTGAACCTAACAGTGTTAGACCTTTGGAGCATCAAAATTGTTTTCATTTGGGAGTGGATTGGGAACTGGAAAACACAGATAGCTTAGA